TTGTTCAGGGTTCTGACTGCGCACTAGCTCGGGTTCTAGTCCGAAAATAAGCGCATCCCAAACCGCCAACCTGTCTTGACTGGAACCTCTTCGGATTATGCTGCAAGATAATCAATGTTGCGACCCCCTAGATGATCTTTCCTATATTTGCGATCAGACTTAGGAGCCTAGTAACCTGTTCCGCTTTTTAATTCTGAGTACATTTCGTAGACTTCTGCATTTTGATTGGCTGAGATTTTAGCCGCTCGTCCTTACTTTCCTGTTGTTCGCTCTTTCTTCGTCGGGCCCGCTTCCGACAGTCTTTTTTGAATATTTTCTCTGATCTGTTTCGTCTCTAGGTCCCCGCGGATAGTGTTTGCTCGGTTTTATCTCGCAACGCTTTGCTTCATGTGCAATCAGTATGCAAACAAGACAATGTTTTTTATTCTTATAATTAAATGTTCTATGATTAAAGGGGTCCCCAGGTGTGATAATCTGCCGTAGTGGGCAAGCATGCTTCACTACGCTCTCACCTGTTGCCTCTATACTTGTGAGCCAAACCTTTTGTGTCTGCCTTGATTGCCTTTTCACAGTTCATTTCCATTTGCGTGAGTATAGTACAAAATAGAGATCAAATTTTGAATATTTTTTTTTCCCAACCATTGACACAAATTTCTTAAGACAAAGTACTTATTCGCTATCCTACGTGATTCGCATGAAGACTTGAATATTGTTGGTTTTAATGACTGCGTGACTAAATTTATTCAGAATTCCGAAGTTTTTAACTTCAAAAACAAGGCATTCCATTTCTTATTTTAATAACGGTACGTTAATTGGACTCGAAAACAGTCAGGATTGACTTGTTTAGTGATTACTAGTAGCACCTAGATATATGATGTGAATTATAACTAGCTACTATTTGGAACGTTAGTAGTGTGTGCATTATTGAAATATTTCTTATCTGCCAACAGGACCCGAAGGTTCGACCAGGCAGTGTGGACATTATGCGGCATTGGCAGGCCCTCGGTTACCTCCTCATCTACACTTCTGCCCGGCCAGATATGCAGCATAAGCAGGTATCCATCTGGCTAGCCCAACACAATTTTCCCACCGGGCTCTGCTTCTTTGTGGATGGCATCTTTGCGGACCCGCTGCGCCAAAAGAGTCTCCTCCTTACCGCCCTTGTGCAGCAGGTTTGTTTGCCT